CAAGCGGAGGATCACCTTGCTGCGCCTGCGCAATCCGACCCCTTCCCAACCGCAAGAGCGGCTTTTGCCCCGACACGTGAGGCCGGAGGGGAGGAGCCTGGAAGCGCTTTGCTCCTTTCGTCCCCCGCCCGCGCTCCTGATTTGCACCGGACCGCGAAGACCAAAAGGAGCAGAGGAGGACGAAAAAGAGGGGTTGCGATTCGTACTTCCAGGAAAAAAAAAGAGCGGGGAGGCGGGGATTAAATGTGCATGGCTTTTAAAGACAGGCAGATTGGTTCCCTGTCTTATCAACCCATCAAGGACGAATCAGGTGCTGCCGGTGGGAAAAACGTAGACTAAAAGTGCATGCAGGAGAGTGGGCTGTCCTTGCACCGCAGAGCGCCTTATTACCCTGGCAAACAGGAAGAAAGATAATTGCTACGCAGCTTTTCACTCAGAAGGGATCAGATTCAAGCCCTGCCCGTTAGTGCAGATTATATTAAACTGATTGATTGATGGATAGATGGATTAGATGTCAGGAAATCTTTGTCTACTCTTAGCAAACAGAGATTTTCTCCATTACGATCTGTCCTTAACCTGGTCTTTCAGGTCTTCCAATGGTGCATTCTTCAGGACTGTAACTGAGTCCATCCACCTTGCTGCTGGCCGTCCTCTTTCCTTCCACCTTTCCCAGCATTAGAGTCTTCTCCAGGGAGCTAGGTCTTCACGCACTGTGTCCAAAGTATGATAATTTGACCCTGGTTGTCAGTGCCTCTCGGTTGATTTGCTCGATGATCCATTTGTTTTTTTTCTTGACTGTCAATAGTATTCTCAGGAGTCTTCTCCAGCACCAACGTTCAGAGGCATCAATACTCTTCCCATCCTGCTTCTTCAAAGTCAACTTTCACTTCCATAGAGTGTTACAGGGAATATCATGGCTTGCATGATTCTGATCTTTGTAGGTATAGATACATCCCAGCATCTGAATATCTTTTCCAAGGCCTTCATTGCTACTCTGCAAGTACTAGTCTGCGGTGTATTTCTTGACTGCTTGTTCCTTCACTGTTAATGGTGGATCTTAAAAGGCAGAAGCTATCTACCGCTTCAATATCTTCACTGTCAATTCTAAAGCTGATTGTTGTACCTGTTATCATCTAAATTAAATGTTGTTCATCTGAATTAGATGAACCAAATATTTTTAAAGTGTTGGAAAAAGTACTTCACTTTGAAGCCCAAAGTATCATTCTGTAAAATAGATGACAGGTTTCAGACATCCTCGTGAGATGGGCAGTGTCTAAATTTGAAATGTAAATAAATAAATAAATATTGGGGAGTGTATTCAGGTTATTGAATTCATGCCTCCTCATTTGTAGCACTGTATGCCTTGGATACCTAGCTTCTACGCTTTTCCATCTCCCTTTCCCATCTCATAACTTTATAAAGACAAGGACCTTAAGGATGATGCTTTCATTCTTGCAGGATCCTGTTATTGTATTTATAATATATTTTGAATACAATTCCTTAAGACTTAAACGTTCATTATCTCTTAATTGAAGTTACAAGAGATAAATGAAGAAATACGATTATATCACATGTGTTTTGGTAAGTAGAGGGATTGTTTCTAACTTTTCATCTCTATCTATTGAATTGATATACTGCCAACATCAATTTGATTCCTGGAAGTTTTAATCCCTTTGGGGCCCTCAACCCCCTTAGAATATACCCACACTACTACACTGAACATGTTATAACAAATAGTTGAGCCTCTGAGAGTAGATAGACTATAGCTTCTTAGGAGAGCACATTTGTATTAACCTTATTTACTAAACTAAAGCAACCTAAGTGAAATGCCCATTACCAGAACAGAAGTTAGCAGTCAGAAGACCCTGGGTCATTCTGTCCTGCACATCAAGTGCTATTCATGGCTATCAGACTAGAGTGGAAAATACAACAATCTGAGGACAGTGACATCTGTTTAACCAAATTTGACCATTTTGGGTAGGAAAAATTGGGACAGTGACTTTCTAGT